TGTGCTGGGGCACCCAGTGATGGCTTTGTGCTGGAGCACCCAGTGATAGCTTTGTGCTGGAGCACCCAGTGATGGCTTTGTGCTTTTCACTTTACCTCAAGGCAGGGTCTTTCCAACTAGGACGTCTAGACCTCCTCTGAACCTACATGATAGCCCAGGCAAGCATCAAACTTGTGATCCTCCTGCCTTGGAGCTGGAATTACAGATCCAGCTTTCTTTGCCCAAAGCCAGAAATCTCACTCCATGAGTGAAATGTGGAATTAATATACAAAGAGCAAGATCAGAAGTAGAAACTTCTACAGCAGTGTGTTTATTATCCTAAGACATATATCTTGATATTGTATATCAATAAAAAGACCTATACTGTTTATCAATAAAAAGATACATAATGTGATCACCTAAAGGCACACAAAAATCCATGCACACACACATACACACATACATACACACATATACATATACACATATACATACACACACATACATACACACACATACATACATACACACATACACACACACACACACACACACACACACACACACTGATTCACACACTAAGGATGGGAAGGTGTGTTCTAAAAGTTAACAGTAGTAATATTTGGAAATAAAACTTTTAGTCTCTTCCTTACATCTTTCTGTATTATCCAGCATTTTAAACAACAATCACATAGAAGATAATAGGTGAGATGAACAACAGCATGAAATTTTGTACCAGTACCTACTACCATCCTCAAAACTCTTAGGCATAAGTTTCAAACCAAAAGTGCCTCTAAAGTAAACTCAACATTCCTGTGTGCTCTGAGTGATACTGAGAACATCTGTGTCTTTCCATTTATGGAAGACCTTGTAAAAATCATATTGTTTTTAACTTCACTCTGAAGTTAAATCAACAATACTGAAGAAGAAAAAAAAAACAACCAGAGTAACTTGCAGCTTTTGTTCCAACGTACTGCATTTAAAATATACAGTAATCCTTCATCTGAACTAAGATTTTGAGGAAACTGATAAATGGAACATGGAAATGTACTTTGCCAATAAGAAACAAATACCCACAGGTATTTTACTGACAAAGAATGGCAGAAAGCCTTCTCTTTGGAGCACAAGGTATTAAGACACAGAAACAGAGGAACGCTCACGTTCCGTCAGTGCTCAACTGTGGTCAAGACACAGTCGCTACTGCTCTATAGAAGCTACTCATCTTCCATCCACTCCACGGCTTCCAGCAAACCCACACAGTTTATTAAGTTCAAAAAATAAATCTTTTGGGTCAGAAAAAATGGCATACTGAAAATTTGATTATAATTTATTTTCTTTTCCAACCCCTTAATTTTTAAGATGGAGTCATCACAGTTTTACACTGAAGAATACTTCCTCATACTTACTAAGCTTGAGCAGCATAAATGTGTTGGCAAGTGTTACATACTTTAAATAAAGGGAACAAGTCCATTTTGCATATGTATAAACCAAAATATATGGGGGCAGAAAGAAACAAGCAGAATTCTAAAATTAGAGTCAATACCACATTCAAGTGCATTTGATGAGACAAACTAATCCTAACGATGTCAAGGCTGCCTCAGGCACACTTTAGACTTTCTCTGCTGTAGAGTTAACATGATGGGGAGAAGCACAGTCCACAGACCCACACAGGGGTAGACCTGGGTCCTCAGGGATGATGCTACCACAATTAACACCCTGAAGAAGTAACAGGGAGTCAGCCTCAACCAATTTACATTGTAAAATAGCATACAACAAATCTCTCACAAGTAAGTAACAACAGGAGAGCTACAGCAACAGAGCTTTGGTCAAATAGAGTGTAAATGTCAACTGGAGGTTCCTGGAAGACATTAGCAATGGTCATCACCTGTGACGTCTTCAGTCCTACATCACTGGAGACACTAGCTAAGGAGCAAGCATATTCCAAGTGCTGTCAGCCCTTGGAAACCTGAATGTAACATGGTCTTATTTGGTGACTGAAGCAGGGCGTCTCAGGAAGCCACAAGCTCAGACACAATGAAAAAGACAAAGAGTGCATCGTAATCAAAGCACGAAGACAAAAGGGAGAGCAGATTGTGTAACCCCTACATCTTATCATACGAGTTCATCTTTCCCGACAAGTTCCAGAAACAGAGGGGTAGAGAGTGCGGCCAAAAGTGGAGTCAGTAACACCCACCTGAAGCGAGCTAACACTTCTTGTAACAGCATCATTCCCAAACCTTTCATTATGCAAAGCACAACCACAGCATAAAACAACAGCACCCAACTAGGGCATTGGCACACAACCCCGGGGGCTCCTGAACAAGCATGTGCTGTTAACTGCTGAGCAATCTCTCCAGCACCATAGATCTTGGAAATTTAAAAATAAACTATAAAGAACTTCAAAGTAGGCAAGGTGAAGATGTAAGAACAGCTGCTAACATGACTGTCTAGAACACATTAAGTGAGGTATATCTTAGTTCCTAAATAATATATCCATAACACCTATTTCTCTTCTACCCAAGCTATTTGTAGACCTAGTTCCTCAACTACTAAGAACCCAAGATAAAATTGTGTCATACCTGTATCAGATACTAATGAGGAAAAACATGGCTACAGACCTTATAGACGGAGTTTGTGAACATTTCTGTCAGAGGCTGTGAAGCTGCCAGATGTGTATCCTCTGGACTGATCTTAAAAACCGTCTCCAAACACTGGATTGCAACTAGAAATAAAACAAAGGCAGCAAGAATTAGCAACTTTACAAAGCAGCCTTCTGGTTTTCCTTATAGAAATGTAATCTATGGTAAATTAGTGTTTATGGTCAAAGAACATAAGGAAAACTAATTGGTCCAACTGCATAAAGATTTCTGTTTATAGATGAGCTACTGGAGAAAGACAGTAATCTCTTATCTCTCACTAAAAAGTATTAGCTAGAGTATAATTTCTGAAAATACACAGTACATTATATTCTTGTTGAAGGTTACCAGAAAGAAGAGAATATCATTAACATCTTACATTCCAATACCAATATCTAATTAACTACCAATGCATTAAACAAAACATCTTTTATATGTGAACAACATCTTTTATATGTGAAAAACAAAATTTCAACTTGATGAAGATTAGTAAGAGGAACTTAATATTTGGCCTGAAGCAGCTACTAAATATTAATCTTGGCATAGAATCATGAAAATAGGTCTGTTTTAAAGTATTCATTCACATATACAAATTTACTGTGTGCCTACTATGTATAAAGTTCTGTTCTAAAATGTTTGAGAGACAGCAATAAACATAACAGGAAAACCAAATCACTGTCCATATTATAAAGCAAAATATTTAGCATGATGACAGTTGCCTCATCTATTTTTGGTGGAGGACAAAATAACTGGTTGGTACAGCAAGAGCGGAAGGTACGGACTGATGCAAAGACACAAATGGAGATTATGTAAGAATCAAAGCCAGCAGATCACAAGGCAGCTTCAATGACATTTTTAAAGAGTGGGACTCTGTGCTACTGGGAAATGGAGGACTTTCAAGGATTTAGTGAGGGGAAATAGCTGTCTGTGTTTAGAACTAAACGACTGGTAGGAATGTTGAGAACAGCCTAGAGAGAGAAACAGGGAACTGGGTGGTCTCCCACTCAACTGCGGAGTCCAGACAAGAGCCAGCCCTACCACTGCCCTCCCAACACTGCCGGATAGATTCATGTACGTTCTAAGAGACATTTAAAAGATATCTTATATATTAATTGTAGTCTAGAGAAAAGTATCCCTGCCATAAAATAAATACTACCACTCTCAGGCCTGAATAAATCACCAAGTTCTCAGCAATAAGAAGTAAAGGTATCTTTTAGGGAGAAAATAATCTGTTTCCCTATACTTCTATTCTTTTCTGTGTTTTGATATTTTGACCCTTTCAGTAGCTAGAACTATTAAAATGTGCCCTTCTCCTTTTCTATTTCTCCCAAACTGATGAAGCTGCATTTAAAATATTGGACTGCAGGTAAATGCCCTCTCCTTGCTATGGCACTTACTTAACAGTAATACAAAAAATACAAAAATACAATAATATAAAATGCACATGTATTTGTTTACTCTTGCACTCTCCCCACTGGACCAGACTGTCATTCTTTGTAGTTTATAGAGTTCATTCTATTACTGGAAAGATCACTGTATGCCAGATGGTCTGCATGCATATATTTCATGTTAGGCCATCTCTTTGAGAACAGGGCCTATTATTTTATTTGTCTTTGACTTTAGAGTCTGGTAAGTAGTGGATGGTCAACGAATGGGATCTGATGGCTTCTTTTTCTGCAGTCAAAAATCAGACAAGGAAATGTAAATGATCAGATCCGGGTTAGAGAGCATTTCTCCTGCCCGCCAAAACCTAAACAGCCAAACCCAAACCTAAGTTCACAGGCGCAAAAAGAGATCAAGAGAACAAAAACAAGTCATTAACTAAAAAAAAAACAAAAACAAAACCAGACCCCAGAACTTCTAAGCTAAAGAAACAAGATGGAGTCACTTCATAAATGTTCTATGGGGAGGGGTTGATGTAGTCTTCCCAGTAGACTTAGAAACCAAGATACAAACCAACTAAGTGCAAGGCCAGGATTATGGAATCCAATGCAACAGATACAGATATGTAACATCTATCATGTGTTGGGCCCCTTTCTAGATACTTGCTATACCAGTGAACAGGACCTTAACCTCTTGGAGAAGGGATTGAGAAGAGAACTGCAATAAGAAACAGGGGCCAGGAGGATAGGGAGGGCAGGAGCTGAGCAGGAATGTTGGCTGCAGATTTAACTTAAGAGTCCAGGCTAGGCCTCCTTGAGAAAAAAATCCGGCAAGGACTTGGAGGAGATAGAAGTGGTATCACTGCAGCAGGTAGGGATGAGGAGAGGCTATTCCAGGCCAAGGAAACAGCCAGCGCAAAAGCCTTTAGGCACAAGAATCTGGTGCCTTCCCAGTAAGGAAGCTAATTTGGCTGAAAATAAATGAAAAACAGTAGGTGGACAATATGTCCAGATTATATAGATTCTTTATACAATGACTAAGTAACACAAGGAGTCCTGGCAAGATTCCGCATAAGAAGAACAGAAATCTGCCATAGCCTTAAGAAATGTTTGAATATGGATAGTCCAAGGAGCCGGACCAGGTGAAGAAAGACCACTCAGGGGTTATCACAGTAGAACAAGCAACAACCACTTTGAAACAGGGAAGATACCAGTGGAAGTGGTAAAAGGTGGTTAGATTCAAAAATGCATTTTATGGTTTTGTTTGTTTGCTTTTCTTGCAGTGCTGGGGACTTGCATACACCAGAGCACATCAGGCAAGCATTCTGTGACTGAACTATATTCCCCAACCTCTGACTCAAGACGTGTTTTGAAAGTATAGGCTTTTAGACCTGGTGTGGTGGTGCACACCTTTATTTCCAACACTGAAGATGCAGAAGCAGGCAGATGTCTATGAGTCAAAAGCCAACCTAGTCCATATAGAGAGTTCCAGCCAGAGATACACAACAAGACCTTGAGAAAGAAAGACAGACTGACTCTTGAAGGCACAGACAACAAGATTTATTAACAGCTAGATCTAGAGTATGAGAAAAACAAGACCCTGGAATGATGCCCATGTTTTTGGCCTAAGCTCAGAAACCCTGGAGCTGCTCTCTCTAAGACAGGGAGTTGTGGGTAGAACAGACGTTAAGTGGGAAGCCTGCAAGTTCAGTTTCGGCAATGTTAATTTTGAGAAGCGTACTAGACATGCAAGCAGAGCTGTGTGGTTGGCAGCTGGATATAGAAGTCTGGGCTCAGAAGAAAGGGCTTCACTGGGGGTATAGTGCTGAGAACTATCAGCACAGAAATTTTGGGTCAGGCAAATAAGCTAAAAATTCTCAGCAAAGAACTGAGTGAAGATAATGGCAAAAACAAACAGACAAACAGACAGACAAACAGACAAACAACCCAAGTGGTCAACTCTGAGCGTGATAGGTCAGGGAAAAAAGAGATTCATCCACGGAGAGAAAGAATGAGAGATGAGATGAGATAAGATAAGCAGGGGATTAGGAGATGTTCTAGAAGAAAAATACTGAAGAGCAGGATGAGGGCCATCAGTGCTGCATACATCTTTCATCACAGCACTGAGGGGGCAGAGGCAGGTGAATCTCTGAGTTTGAGACCAGCCTGGTCTACAGAGTGAGCTCCAGGACAGGCAGGGATACACAGAGCAACCCTGTCTCAAAACAAACAAACAAACAAAAACAAAAAAACAAACAAAAAAACGCAGATAAGGAATAAGAACTGTTTAAGTAGACACAGAAATCACTAATACCTTTAATGAGTCCAGAACAGATGGCGAAAAGGGACTAAAATTTTTTTTAAATTCAGAAATAAGAGAATTGTAAAAACAAGTATAGACAACTCTTTTTAAATAGCTTTGTTACAAAGGGAGACAAAAATCAAATAAGGGGGACTCAGCAGAACCACAAGAATATCCACTTTAAAATATTTTTGTTGTATTTTATGTGTATGGGTGTGTGTATATATCTCTGTGCAGCACATGTGTACCCAATGCCTTCAGAGGTCAGAAGACATTGGATCCTCTGCATCTAGAGTTAAACACAGTTGTGAGCCACCGTGTGGACGCTGGGAATTGAACTCAGGTCCTCTGGAAGAACAGCCAGTGTGCTAAAACACTGAGCCATCTCCCTAGGCCTCCCTTCACCAATTATTTTCATTTATGTATGTTTGTGTGTAAAACAAAATACCAATTATGAATGCAGTACCCGCAGAGACCAGAAGAGGGCATCAGATCTCCCATTCAACATGACCTGGGTCCTCTAGAAGAACAACAGCAAGTGCTCTTAACCACTGAGCCATCTTTCCAGCCCTGTTCACTTTTCTTTGTCTCTTTTTTTGTTTGCTTGTTTGTTTATGAAAGAGGAGTTGGTGGCATGTTTATGATTGGATGAAAATGATTCAGTGGAGGGAAAATCTGATGACATGGGCCAAAAGGGAGAAGAAACTGCAGTGAAGGCTTGGATGGTGAGAGGGGATGGGACAAGATATGCCAGTAGAGAGATTTCTCTGAGAAGGGAATATAGCTAGTTCACCTATGGCAATAGGCAGGCAGCGAGGCAAAGCACGTGGGTACTGACAACGAGGGAATGTACAGAGGGTAGAAGCTGGTAGATGTTGTTTTATTTTCCTTTCTTTCTTTCTTTCTTCCTTTCATGGTGAAGGAAGTATATAAGGGTAACGGCTGAAAATGAAGTTTGGGGATTCAGAAGATGAAAGAACATATTAAAATGGCCATGTAGGACAGTAAAGGGATGAATGGATGAATGAATGAATGAATGAATGAATGACAAATACTCTGATCACCCAGCAGCATTAAAGGTCTGTTTGAGGTGCACAGTTATGAGTCGATATAGTCAGCCATCAAACTTGTCCATTTTGCTCCATCAATTTATAGCCAAATGGATATAGACACTGAGTGAGTGGGTAGAGAGTTAAAATTAAATAAGGTTCAGTTATTTCAAGACAGGAGAAATAATACAGGAAAATATCGTTACTATTCACCACAGAATTTAAGACAAGTAAGAAAGAGGTAGAGAAAAGTATGGATCAGCAGATTGGAGAGGCTGGCTGAAGAATTGTTCGGGGACATTGTTGGGGACCCGGGAGGAAGTATGCTAGAAACACAGGCAGTAGAAGCCAGGAAGGAAACTGCTGAGAACCGAGATGGCTGCTGGAATACAATTTGGGATGATACAGTCTAGGAAAGGCTTCTAAATCTCATCACCCTGACACTTTAGATCAGATAATTTCTTGTTATCAAGAGCTGTCTGGTGCATTGTCAAGAGTTTAGCATCATCTATGGCTTCTACCCATGAGAGGCCATAATATCAGCCTCTCCAAAGAAGGTGACATGCAAACATGCCTCCAGACTTTATAGAACTCCTCTGAATTCAGAAACGCTGATCTACAGTGTAACCAAGTGGGTGCGATCAGAGGAGCGGAAAAGCCCAAGAGGCCAGTGGAAGAGAAAGACAAGAATTTCCCAGGAGTTTGTCAGGATTGGAAGGAATTAGGACTAAGTAATGCTTGCAAGAGTGACTGATGGTATCCCAAAACCACAACAAACAGAAGTGACGTCACAGAGGACAACAATTCTGGGAATAAACAGCAAAGCTGGTGAAACACAGCTCCACACAGTGGAAAAGCTGCTGCTCCAACAACTGATCCTTTCCCAAGGTTTTTTTAAATGTCTCGAAGGTGGGCAGACACCTCCACGTGATTTCATGTTCAATTAAATTAGACTCACAGAGTCAAAAATAGGGGTCAGTCACAAACAATTGGCACCATTTCTGACTCCATATATAACAAACAGCTGAAGGCACATATTTTTGGCTGAGTGCCACTCTAAAAATAGGACATAACATCTTGGTTTTTTAAAATACTCTCGATTTTCTTTCTGCTTCATAAAAACATCATACTGCCTTAGATTAGAAGAGAAATATCTTCTTTTTATTATGTGATTGCCTTCCTCTGTTGCTGCAGAGCAATTACAACCAAGACTTTCCTTTGATAGCCAAACTACCTTTATCTTTCCCCAGGTCTGATGGTCAGGGAGGACAAAAGACCTTTAGATTAAATAGGCTAATTTGCAATGTCCTCCCACTGTGCCTCATCTGCTCCTCTCACTGTCACCTGGAAAGACACCATTTCACCAGAGGCACAAATGCCCAACTTTGATTTACACCTCCGTAAAGCATGGCTACAAACAAAGTAGACAGAATTCATAGATGAGCCCCCTCTCTAGGAGAGGCAGCTTGGAGATAGGAAATTCCAACCATCCTGCTATTTATGACGCTCTCCCCAGTGAGCTCTCACTGTGATAATTAAGTCTTCAGACCACAAGTGAGCTAGGCTGACTGAACCTTCACAAGCCTATCTGTCTATATCGTTTTGTCTTCTCATGGCTATGCTGAGTTAAAATTTTATAATGCATAAACATGAAGCAATGAAGTCAAAGAAGCGCATGGTTCTCCTCCAGTCCTGCTTAGCTTTACAGATTACTGAATCCAAGATTTCAAGCTCACAGAAAACAAGGGCGGAATCTTCTCATTCTCTAAAGTACCATTTGCTAGAGCTCAGTAACGGTATAATCACTTAGGTTTTTTTTTTCTCTTTTAAACATGGTGCTATTGCAGTGACTAAGGTATTTTCATATGTTCAGAATAAGATCCTCTGCTATTAGGGAAAAGGGGGAAATCTTTGAAGTATAAATTTGAATTTAAACATCAGCTTTGTTACATAGTAGCTGTTCTGTTGTTTAAATAATCTAATTTCCTAGTCTGTTCAATGGGAATAATGTTCCCGTGACAAAAACTTCCCTAAAATATGAATTACATACTTCTGACAGTAACTTTTCAGTAAATAAATAGTCCTATTTCTTATTAGTTAAAACAAGCCCCAGAAAATGGAAATAACATTCTAGTTAAGCCTCTCAAAAATATTCTGATTTGGTTATTAAAAAATCAGAAGCTTTGGATTGTAGCTATTTTAATATTTCTTTACAATTATGACACAAAGAATAGGTACCTACCTTCCAAACTTTCTTGTTCATCAGAAGTATATGCATCCATCTGACTTTGTTCCCGCAAGAAACGAATAACTGCATAAACTAGGGGCTTCACAGACGACATTTTAGACGCTTTAATATCTCCTTGACTAAAAAAAGAAGAAGAAACTATCAAGGGTCATCCACTATGTTAAAAGCAATAAAAGCAAAAATATTCATTACCTTGATTACTTTTCTCTCTTTAATGGGTCATGTAAGCACAAGTTGTTACAGTGATATATTCCACATGTTCATTCAAACCCAGCTTTATTAAACTACGTTAAAGCTTGCATCAGTAAAATAGACAGCTTTTCAAAACATGTGTAGCAAAGCCTAGAGCTCACCGTGCCTTAACAATGTATATGATACAGACACAAGAAAGTATAGGAGTGCAGACATATGGAGAATCACCCTTGAAAGGCCAGATTTCGTACTGCTGACTCAGAATGTGAGCCACAGTGAGCATCTTCCTCTATTCCAAGAGGTGTTTTTTTTTTAATGTATTAATCATTTATACTCCACTACTTTTGTAGGTTGAGAGTTACTTGCTGAGGACAAGGCTCGGTGGAAAGGTTATTCAACCATTGAGTGTTATTGTTAAAAAGCGGCGTTTCTATTTAATCAGCACACTGGTCTGAAATCACCGTCAGAAAACCCGACAGATAGTACAAACCGATCTGCCCCTGCCTGCAGTAGCTGTGCTCTCGTGGACAAGCTGGAAGCTCCTGGCCGCGTTCATTCACATGGAATACTATGCATCCAAACAGTGGCGCAGGGCCAGGTGGCATTAATGGCTTATTTCCACTAAATCGTATCAGCAATCTGCTCCCCGGGATTCCTAATTCACAGCCAGGGTGTGGTACCCGCCGCTAGGATGTTTATTAGCTTTGTACTTCTTTTAAAGGCGAATCCAGTCTCTAGGCCAGAGAGGTTATTATACATACTGACTAAGGACCCGGGGCAGAAGAGGGAAACAGAATGGGGGTGGGGGAGTTGTCCAACCTCCTCCAAGCTTCCCCTCCTACATCTCCAATCACATCTACCTCCCACTCCCATGGTTCCCTCCCCGCTGCATCCCGGCTTTGCCTCAGCCCATACGGTGTTTGCAGGGGGTACGCGGTGCAGGCCTCCATCTGGGGCTGCGAGAGACGCACCCTTTCCAGAAAGAAGCCCCTTACCAGCCAAGAGGACACGAGATGACGGCTGCGGGCCCGGGGGCTTCGGGAAGCGGGTCCGCCTGCCCCCGCGGTCCTCCGGGCTTGAGCGGTGCTCAGGATCGCAGAGGGGACCGCGTCTCCCAAACTTCCCCGGCTCCAAAGCTGCCGCCGCCCCCTCAGCCCACCCGGCTGCTCGCAGGGCTCTCGGACAACCGGGCTTGCTGGATCCGCCCCAGGGGCGGAGCAGGGCACGGAGGGGTGGGGTGGAGGCGGGGCAGGGCTCGGGGCGGGGCCGGAGCCGGATGCGGGGCGGGGCGATGGGCGGGGCCACGGCGTAGGCGTGTGGGCCTGCAGCACGTGGGAGGGCGCTGGGCGGGATAGCGGCCTCAGTCTCGAGATCTGGTCTCTTCAGCTTGGCCCACTCTCGGCTTCCGGGCCCGCAGACTCCTCTGCCCGCCTCCTGCACCTACAAGCCGGAGGACCACGCGCCAGCTGCTGCCGGCCTCCCGGCCTGCCCATGATCACCCTGTGCCTTTCGGCTCTGCGAGGCCTCCACAGGTACTCTAGTGGGCGGGCTAACCTTGACCGTGGGCAGGGTGGGGTCGTCTGTCCGCGAATGCCGTGGGGCCTGGTGCAACCCTACTACACCCACCCGTGATGCCCCTGAGACTGTCCTTTCCCTCTGCCTGCTTGATGGACTCCGTAGGGACACCTGGTGCAGCAACCTGGGGCCACCTCTCCCTTCCCGCTTCCCTCAGGAGGCCATCCTTTCCCCTTTGTTTGGGATTGCTTCAGCCGTAGTCTGTGAGAATGGTGGTTCACAGACCCAACCCAGAACAAATAGCGAAGGATAGGCGGACGCGCCCTTCAGAACTGCAGACCTGATCTAGAACGTGCCGCAGCTGTGGAATCCAGAAATGAAGCATTTTCGTAGGCACCTCATGCACTTGTTAGCGGTCCAGGCGTTTAATATACACCGAGACCGCCTTGGTTTTGATACTTATTCCGTCCTTGCTTTTTAACTTCATTTTTATCTCCCTCCTTCCTTAAAACATTCGGTCTCTTAATCTGGCAAACTGACTTGCTCCAGAATTGTTGCTTGAACACGGTTTGGGGCAGCCTAGGCTGCGGCTTTGAATTGCTTCCTAGCGCTCTAACCACACCCCTCCGCAACAGACCAGTAGCAAAATGGTGAGAGAATTAAATTCTTTGCACGGATATGCCGGTTTTCGGGAACAAAGCGGCCACCACCCCCCATTGCCAAATCTGCCTTACATTGAAATTTCATGTGAAAGTTCAACAGGGGAAAAAAGAACTTTGTAGTTTTTGTAGATGTGCACAAAACTATTTTTAACCATCAGCATTTCTGCTTTTCATAGTTTTCTATTGTGCTTTGCCACTCATCTGCGTAGATCTTTGTGTTCCATAGTCCTTGTGCACCCAGGGGACAATAGTGGTTCTGCAGAGTTCACCTGATGACTGTGACTATTATTTGAGCAGGGTTTGTTGATTCCTTGTCTCCAGGCTGGAAGTGGTAAAGCTGTCAAATGAAGCTGTACCTAGAAATGAAGTTCTTTTTTTCACTTAATGGAAAAGCAAGAAGAGAGAATAAATTTCCATTATGAAGCAGCTAGCTCTCTTCTCTCTAACTTTTTAGTATTGAGACCCCTTTACCTTTTAAAAACTGCTGAAAAACCTAGGAGCATTAATTTTGTTTTTGTCGATTATATCTACTGATAGTTAACCATACACAATTAAAACTAGGACATTCATAAAAGATTAATGTTTATCGAATAGTAATATACATATTATATGCATATTTTTCCATTTATCTTGTCAGTGGATGCTGGAGTGACTTAATACAAAATAGCTTAATTACTACATATACCTCTACATTTAAGGTGTTTCTCCATTTTATTTTGGTTTAAGAAGGAAAATCTTACTTCACATTCATATATAGGTAGAAAGAGAATATTTTAATAGCTTTCTAAGGTAACCATGGTTGTTATTTGATGTCACACCCAAACAGATGGTGTGTTTTTTTTTTTAAAGGGTGAGTTGCAGAGTGGAGTTGGGAGTGTGTACCACTGGACTCTTCTTCTTCTTCTTTTCTTGGATGTTTTATTTACATTTCATATGTTGTCCCCTTACCCCATCCCCCTCCCAGCCCAGGAATCCCCTATCCCATCACCCCTCCTACTTCTCTGTGGATGTGCCCCTACCTACCCCCCCATTCCCACCTCCCCACCCTCAAATTCCCACCCACTGGGGTGTCCAGCCTTCATGAGACCAAGGATCTCTTCTCCCACCTATGCCTGACAGGGCCATCCTCCCTTACAGATACAGCTGGAGCAATGGATCCCTCCCTAAGTGCTCCCAGGCTGGTGGTTTAGACCCTGGGAGCTCTGGTTGGTTGGTATTGTTGCTCTCCTCATGGTGCCACAAACCCTTTCAGCTCCTACAGTCTTCACTCTGACTCCTCCATTGGGAACCCCATGATCAGTTCAATGGTTAGCTGTGAGCATCTGCCTCTGAATATGTCAGACTCTTGCAGACCTCTAAGGAGACATCTATATCAGGCTCTTGTCAGCATGTACTTCCTGACTTCCACATCAGCATCTACCTTTGGTGACTGCACGTGGGATGGATACCCAGGTGGAATGGTCTCCAGATGGCCCCTCCTTCTGTTTCTGTCCCTCACTTTGTCTCCATATTTGCTCCCTTGAGTATTTTGTTGCTCCTTCTATGAAGGACCTAAGCACCCCCACTTGGTCTTCCTTCTTCATGTGTTTCATGTGGCCTGTGAGTTGAATCTTGAGTGTTTCAAGGTTCTGGGCTAATATCCAATAATCAGTGAGTGAATACCATGTGTGTTCTTTTGTGATTGGCTTACCTCACTCAGGATGATATTTTCTAGTTCTATCCATTTACCTAGGAATTTCTCGAATTCATTGTTTTTAATAGCTGAGTAATAGTCCATTGTGTAACTGTATCACATTTTTTGTATCCATTCCTCAGTTGAAGGACATCTGGGTTCTTTCCAGCTTCTGGCTATTATAAATAAGGCTGCTATGAACATAGTGGAGCATATGTCCTTGTTATATGTTAGAGCATCTTCTGGGTATATGCCTAGGAGTGGTATAGCTGGATCCTCAGGCAATGCTATGCACTGGACTCTTCTTATGCTGCTATATTAAATCCACTTGGTATATCTTTCTTTTTAAATTGAGAGGGTACTCTGCATAATTTTGAAATGCCAGTCACAGTTCATTTGGGAATTAGTGGCTGGGTTATGGAGTTTTTCTGATGTTGGCCTATTTTATTACATACTATCAAATGTTACATTCCTTGGGGTTATCATCCATTTTTATTAGAAGTCTTCAAGTGTTCACTGTAGTGGATAGAATTTTCCAAACTTCTAGTTTTCATTTGAAACTTGGAATTTTATTAGTAAATGACATACATCCTCATATATTTCTTTGAAATGACAGTCTCAATATTACTTTTCTGGGGATAGTTTTATTTGTTTGTTTACTTGCTATTTTGTTTGTTGTGCTTTTGAGACAGGGTCTCGCTATATAAAGTGATTCTGGCCTTGAATTCATGGTCCTCACATCTCAGCCTCCAAGTTGCTAGAATAAGAAACATGATTCGCCTCACACACCTCCTAGTGTGAATTCTTGATATGCTGGAATTGAACCCATAGACTACCACTAGCTGGACAAGCAGAATAATTCTGATTTGTTTGTCATTAAAAATAGTATTATAATCAGGTATAGCAGCTCATTCCTGTAATCTGAGCGTTGGAGACAGGGACAGTAGAATCAAGAGTTGAAGGCCAATCCAGGGTATGTTGCAAAACCCAGTATCAAAAAAGTTTGTTAATTTTTTTTTTAAAAATTGAAGGGTAGTTCATGAAAAGAAATGGAAAAGAGAAGGTATTTTTGGCTCACAGTTCATTCACTTTCACAAATGCTGTGCTTTGCACAGTCAGTTCCTCTGGAACACCTGTTCAGAAGTGATGTGTATGTGCCTGGCCATACATCCACAGTGAAGGGTCAAGACTTAATAAACAGTACTTAGTACAAGTGTATCCTAAAGTGCAACTGAGATTCTTTTTAGCATGAGTGTGAGTCCTTGAATTTGTCTACCAATGGTAGTAATAGTTTTAAGTACAAAGATGGCAACAGTTTTATCCACCATTGATTTTATTACCACCACAAAGGTCTATGAAGCAAAAATCGTATTATAAGCTTCAGTATTATGGACGATTCTACACCTTATGTTCTCCTTGACCTGGTCTCAGGGTCCACTGTACAAACCTGTGACCTTATTATTTGCTCTCTAACTGTAGAGAATTACTTATATATTATATCCAGACTCTTCATTCATGCATGCAAAGAAATATATTAAAAGCCATAAAATTATTATCTTCTTAGAAGTTAGTAATATGCCAAGTATGGTGGTAAGTGCCTGCTATCTCAGCATGTGATAGACTGAGGAGGAAAATTGTGAGTTCCGGGCTATCCTCGGTCTCAGAGTGAAACTCTACCTCAAAGAAGGGGGGATGGTAGTGGTTAGTATTAGTAATCTACTGTAAGTATATCAACTCTGCTGTCACTTGAAGACATAGATAACAGTCACTATGGTCGTTTGAATAAAAATGGCCCCCATAGGCTCATACTTAACTACTTTGTCAGCAGGGAGTGGCACTATTTGAGAGGGATTAGAAAGTGTGGCCTTGAGCCGGGCGGTGGTGGCGCACGCCTTTAATCCCAGCACTTGGGAGGCAGAGGCAGGCGGATTTCTGAGTTCGAGGTCAGCCTGGTCTACCGAGTGAGTTCCAGGACAGCCAGAACTAACACAGAGAAACCCTGTCTCGAAAAACCAAAAAAAAAAAAAAAAAAAAAAAAGAAAGTGTGGCCTTGTTGGAGTAGGTGTGGCCTGGAAGGAGGAAATATATATGGCTTTGAGGTTTCAAAAGTCCATGGCAGTAAGCCTCTCTCCTACCCACTCCTCATCTCTGGATCAGGATAGCTCTCAGCACTATACCTGGCTACCACCATATTAATAATGGACCAAGCCTCTAAAACTGTAAGAAAGCCCTCAATTAAACTGTAATTAGCC